CCTAGAAGCAATGGCACCTCCAACCTACTAGCGATGGCCTCTAACCCAATAGCAATGATCTCCAACCTACAAACCGTGGCCCCAAACCTACTAGCGATGGCCTCCAACCTAGTAGCAATGGCCTCCAACCTACTAGCGATGGCCTGAAACCTAGTAGCGATGGCCTCCAACCTAAGAGCGGCGGCCTCCAACCTAATAGCGATGGCCTCCAACCTGATAGCAATGGCCTCCAACCTAATAGCAATGGCCTCCAACCTAAGAGCAATGGCCTCCAACCTAATAGCAATGGCGTCCAACCTAAGAGCGATGGCCTCCAACCTGATAGTAATGGCCTCCAACTTAAGAGCGATGGCCTAGTAGCTTTGGCGTCCAACCTAATAGCAATGGCCTCCAGTCTAAGAGCGATGGGCTCCAACCTAAGAGCAATGGCCTCCAACCCAATGGCAATGGCCTCCAACCTAAGAGCGATAGCCTCCCACCTAATAGCAATGGCCTCCAACCTAATAGCGATGGCCTCCAACCTGACAGCGATACCCTCCAACTGCTTTGCACGAGCCAAGTCTTCAACACTTTGGTGACCGAAAACGTTCCAAGGACTCTAACTTGAGTCGCGTTTTTCCCAGGAACAACAACGATGACGTGAAGCTGGCAGGCTTTCAACACATGCATCCGACTGAGCCCTCGGAAAGCTGGCATTGGCAGTCACTGTGTGGCAAATCAAAGGATGCGAGAGTGAGAGTGCATCAGAATGGGCAGGGGTCCTTGACCAGAAGGTTTACTGCTGCTGCTGTTGCTGTTGCTGTTGCTGTTGCTGTTGCTGTTGCTGTTGCTGTTGTTGTTGTTGTTGTTGTTGTTTGTTTTCAAGCAGGATCCCTTCTAGGCTCAAAATAAGGAGTTGCTGCGCGTTGCTGCTTGAGTTGTTAACGGACGTGCTTGTTGAACAAAAAGTTCACACAGAACATCGTACTAAGGAGCTGGGGGAGGATTTCCATTGATTTGGGTAGGAAGCTGTTAAAACATGTTAAAACCATTTGTTCATGGTTGTTTTGGGAACGCTAAACGAAGGGAAAGAGCTTGGCCGTTTTCAGAGCTTGGCGTCTTTGGTTGCCAAAACCTCCATTTTCCAGACAACTGCGTCATCCTGTTGTTTGCTTCACTGGTCTCGTTCTGAGGCCACTGGAATTCTTTGACTTCTCCCTAAAGTCCATCCCTTTCACAGCACCAGAGGCCGACCTGGGACAGCATCGCAAGAAATTGGGGCTCGAAATTGGGGCTCGTTTGGGTGCCTACATTGTTTGTGCATGTTGTCAGCCAACTGTCATCCATGTTGTCAACCTACTTTGCGTGCACCTAGCAGTTCTCCAGTTCTACACAAGTCATTGCAGTAGCCAAAGTGATTACGTTAAATTCGAGACTGTTTGATTCTTTCCGTGCATCACAAAGCTGCATTGCCATTTTTAATTGGTGAGCTGTCCAAATGGAAGTTGTATGTGAAACCGCAGTGATTCAACTTGCAGTGCAGTCTATACATGATTATCAGGGCAATCTCATCCTCTTTTCGGTCCAGATCGCCCCGAATCCTCTTCAGGATTGCGCCAGGAACAGGATTTCCGTGGTGTTTGGGAACTTACCCAACCAATCCTTGGAGGCCATCATCACTTCTAGGTTGGAGGCCATCGCTATTAGAAACAACGAAAAAAGAAAAGGACGTAAGCACATCGCTAGTAGTAACAAGTGCATTACTACTAGTAGCAAATAGCTACGTTCGTAGCTTCTTGTTAGTTGTGCAAAAAATCGACCGGGGGAGTAACGGTGCTCCACGATCTCATCGTGAATCCTTTCTATGTCCCGGTCCGAGGTGCTGCGCGGTGCGTGCTTCGGTGGCGCTGCGGCGGATCTCTGGGGCGTGGGCGGAATGTTGGGACACTTCTTGATGGGACGATGCTCGGTTTGAGGTGTTGGGACACGGGACACGGGACTTCTCGGGAACGTGTGATCTCGTTCAGGCAACTGCCACACTCAGGTAACATGGTAAAACATATTGTTCAAAAGAAGAGAGTTTTTGCATGGTTATTGCACTTGCTCCAAAAGTTAGTGATTCATCATGATTCATCAAAGGCTATAAAACACCACCTTAGACCTTGGACCTCAAACGCAACTCGTTCTTTTGAGGTCCAGTGTTTCCCAATGCTTCCTCCTGTGCAGAGCAGTTGGAGCTTCATGAGCAGCTGGAGCTGCCAGAAGTCGAGGGACGGCCCGACGGTTGTGCAGTGCAGCAAGAGATGCTACGAGGACTTTTGCAGGCAGAGCCGCACAGGCGTGGAAGCGCAGTCGACTTGCTCCACTCGGAATCTTGACCAGACGTTCGGAACGGATGGCAAAAGCCACAAGCAGTTGGTGGGAAAACTGGTGTATCTTGGGGTCAACTGGATATCTTTTTCGGAAGAACGAGGTTTTCACGAGAGTTCTGAATCTCCAGACCCGCTTGATGCTGTGGTTCGACATTCCGACTGAACGGGTTGACCATTTTCTTCGGCTTCCATGGTCTGGAGAAGACTCCGAAGATTACGTCAGCTATTCGACTCCAGGATTGATAGAAGCGCGGCTACGCTTCTATGGTGGTTTTGCAAACGACGCGACGAGCATTGAAGGGTTTTTTTTTCAGACGACTATAGACCACTAAGGAATGGTTTGCCAAGCTGGCAGAAGGCTGCAAAGACTACCGAGCAGAGGTGTACTCCATCAGGGCCTTTGATTCAATAGGCTCGTTGCAAGAGGCTTTCCTCACTCTTGGCCTGGATAGACCAGGAGCAGTGCTTGACATGATTGCTGTAGGGACTTTGGGTGACCGGAGCAACAAAAAGCAGATGGTGAGTTTGGCAATTGCGTCTGGCAGGGAACTTGTTTGCAATATGTTAGACCCTGCTGTTGCGGTTTCGATCAGGGGCCAAGGTCAGAGACTTGCAGATATATCAGGACTACAGCAAAAATTTTTTTGGACCAAGCTTGTTGGATCGAATCCATCGGAATCCATCGCTGCGACTGGTAAGTGCTAAGTGAGAAACTCGTCAATTGGTGAACCTTCTTGAGCTTTGTGTAGACTTAGTCTAGGGCCTCTAGGGATCTCTAGGGTCGATCTAAAGGGCTCACAGAGATGGACGGAGAACTAGTGGACAGAAACGGCGGTTTTGGGGTGCCAATGTTGTTGGAAGTTACGGGTCAGATCGATTTCAGCCGCTTGCGGCATCATTTGAGCAACATGGAGGTAGTTGGACATATCCATCAAACGGTTTGATCAGGAGCAGAGTGAAATCCGCCTGGTTCCACTTGACGCCTGGCACAGCATGGCGCAGCTTCACGCGCAGCTTCACGCGCAGCTTCACGCGCAGCTTCACGCGCAGCGTGGCGTGGCCACAGGTTCCATGGCCAAATACATACTGTCTTTTGCAAAGCAAGGCAATCGAGGCATAGAACTACCCTCTGAAATGGAGCATGTTGATCAGAACATATCCCTTTGAACGTCATTCATCGGTAATGATGCTTGCTATGTTGTTTGGTTGCTATATGCTTTTGTAAATATGGTGATTGAAAAGGAGTGTGCGGTTCTGGTGAAAATCGCCTGCATTCGTCTTGCATTCATCGCACATAGGGCAATACTAGAGGTGAATCAACTCCAGCAAACCTTTGCGAAAGCAGAGATTCCATATTCAGCCAGAGACGTGGCAGCATTTGTTCATTGCTGTAAGTAGCACAAGCGAACCACGGCGATGAAGGTGTGGTCTGGCTGATTTCTTGGCGGTGAGAGACCTATCGACCTATCCACCGATTCCTCTTGGCCCAGAAGCGTTGGAACCGATTCACCGTTGGTCAAGGCCGACTGGCAATGAATGGCAGTCGACGAAGTGAAGATGCCCGTTTTGGTCAGAAAAGTGCCTGAAAAGTGGGATTCGCTGGCCCTACCTTGTGGAGAGAAAGGTAGCCTGTGCGAGAAAAAGGGCGGCTGTGGCAGACCATCCAGTACTTGTGCGCCTGCCAGCAGACCTCGTGCAGCGCGGGCAGATGTTTCCAAGTGCATCGCGGACGTGGCTTTCCCATGCGCAGGTTGGGGTATTGCCCCCAGTTTGATGCGCTGTTGGAGCTGTTGACTGTCGAGGACTGCCTGGGACATGGGCGATGGCCTCCACCCTGAGCCATGGCCTCCAACCTAATTAATTGCGGAAAGGCAGCTCCCATAGTGTTGAAACCTGGCTGATTGATGGACTGTAGGTGCACTCATGACTGAAGATATTGCCCGAAACTGCTAAACGACAATATGGAAAACCAATTTGATTTGCACCTGAGGTTTCGTCTGAACGTTTGGCTTCTAGGAGCATGCTTTCTTCCTTCCGTTTCACCTCTTCCGGAGGATCACCTGGAGTTTTACGCGGCGATCCGCGGATTGCCCCGACAGGTCGTAGCCCAGAGCGTTGTGATGTGAACTCTCCCTGGAATTCACATGGATGGCATGACCCCCATGGAGGTCCATGGAATCCACAAACCAGGTGGTGCCATGCACTTCCATCTGAGTTGCTACCAGGAGTGGTACCTGGTCTTCGTGGTCGATTTGATGTTGAGGGTGTTAGTGATCGGTGAAGCCGTGATGATCGGTTCCAAATGGAGTCCATGTTCGGTGAACATTTGGTGTAGTCAGTGCCTATTCCCAATGAGCATACCAGCTCAAGTGCCTCCAAGAGCTTCGTAACACAGATAGCAGGTGTGGTAGGGACGAAAGGAGAGTAGTTGACCGAAACAAGAATTCACAAAAGAGTCCACAAGAATCCCAGCTGTGTGCGCCAAGCTCTTTGGCGCATTGAATCTCTGCTGATGTCCCTATGTTTTCAGTACCTAATAGCAGTGGCCTCCACCCTAATAGCAATGGCCCTTCAACCTAGTAGCGATGGCCTCCAACCTAGAAGCAATGGCCTCCAACCTAGTAGCGATGGCCTCCCCCGTAATATAGATGTCCCTATGTTTTCAATGCCCTGCTACCTCTGAACCTTTCAGTCAAATGTGGCATTCTCCTGCTCGAGGGTGCTTAGCTTGTGCTGCGCGTGAGCTTTGTCAGTGGGTCACATCCGTGTTCAGTGGATGGTTCGAGGCCGTGGAAGACACCTTGCAAGATTTCAAGCTGGAGAAGATGGTTGGGGCCTTGGACAACCATGTAAAATATTGTAAGGCTCGTGTCAAGAACATCCATCAGAGTTATTCTGATACAGTGTGTGTGTGTGGATTCTTCGTCCATTTTTTGGTCGCCAGCAAGGACCCTGTGGTTGGGTTAGTGACTCCTGTTGCGGTTGCTTCGCAACTGGGGAGTACTTTGTCATCAGTCATCGTTCAATGGAGTTGGGAGTACGTAGGGCAGGGCTTCGTCTTTGGAGCAAGCTGCAGGTCACATTATCAAGTGGAATACGTTTTGATTGAACAACCTTGGTTAGTGGGCTCACTGAATGAGATTGCCGATAGATCCTCTCGGAATAGGCCACATGCACCCTTTTCGTTTATCACCTTAAATACCATTCTTGAGTGGTGGCTTTGTTGGTTCTGTAAGATCACAGATCCTGTCCGCGGGTCACTTTGCTTTCCACAGGAACATGTGAGACCCCATGAAGGAAAGACATGAAAATCATAGGATTCATATGATTTTAGAGACTTGACATGTGACATCATCCCATCAATGCTTCACGCTTGGAGAAGGGCAAGGAGTTGACATTTGGCACGCCCATCAACCACTCACAAGTTGCTTGGACGCCACATAGGCGCGTCGCCGTGCGGACGTCCTCAGCGGCGGCAACAAGCGGAAGCTCTCCGCAGCACTGGCCTTGGCGCGGAGACCTGGCGCGGAGACCCCAAAGGGTGGCCAAGGTTGGTTTGTTACTATATGTTTGAATGCTATTTAATACTATTCATTTATTTAGTTGTTTAAACATAATGTTATTGTTTTCTTTTTGTTGTTTTTGTTTTATGTGTTGTTTGTTCTCTTCTTTTTTGTCCATTATTCGTTCGTTTATATGTTTATTGTAGGTTGTTATTTGCTCCCAAATTCTGTCCAGAACTGTGGCCACTTGTGTTCTTGAACTAGCAGTTTCTGGCAAGGGGTTGCAACGTTGACGGAGTAATGCCCTTCGGGTAGTAAAGCCGTCTAATTCAGGCCTTTGATTCAATATAGGAAAGGCCAGATGGCTTTCGGCTAGAGTAGCTAGAGTAGCGAGTAGCTAGAGAAGGTGAAGGTGTGTTGATTCGAGCTGAAGACATTCTAAGACGATCCCTCGATCATGTGTGTTGAGATGGGCTCGCCATCCTTGGCCATCCTCGATGAGCCCAGCTGCGGGTTGGACCCAGCTGCACGTCGTGCACTTTGGACTGGGGGAGTTTGGGAGAACGTCACAAAGCTCCTAGTAGCGTCCTGGCTCCTAGTAGTACGGCCAGGAGCCCCTAGTAGCGTCCTTGCTCCTAGTAGCGATGCCAGGAGCCCCTAGTAGCGTCCTTGCTCCTAGTAGCGATGCCAGGAGCCCCTAGTAGCGTCCTTGCTCCTAGTAGTAAGGCCAGGAGCCCCGAACGTAGCTTCTTGTTCCTAGGGTGATGTTCGTGTCTTTGTAGGAAGTCTGACAGCTGAGAGGTTCCGAAAGCTGACCTTCGAGTCACGAGTCTTCCGGACATTCAGAATGGTCTTACTTCGGCGCGTCCAGTTTGCCAGGACAGCCGTGCACGAGGCCGTGGGCATCTCCAGATCTCCTGTGGTGGGTTGGTCCAGGTGCACCACCTTGGCACCAGCTCCGTGCGTCGCTCGAACGTAGCTCCGTTCGTAGCGATGCCCTTTGTTGCGTTCGTAGCGATGGCCTCCAACCTAATACCAATGGCCTCCACCTAGTAGCTTCTTATTAGTAGAAATGTGGGAGGTGCTTTTGGTTTTCGTTCATCGCAACCAGCTCTTTGGAAACCTCGAAACCTCATGACAAGTTTGAGTATATATATATATATACAGAGACAGCCACGGAAGTGAGGGAAACAATCAGCCACGTGTCGTTGGAATGCTCCTAGTAGCGATGCCAGGAGCCCCTAGTAGCGTCCTTGCTCCTAGTAGTAAGGCCAGGAGCCCATAGTAGCTTCTGGTTCTCTTTTTCTTTTGACAGGGCTTGTTTTCAAAGGCTCATGAAGCCATCATATGAAGCCCCCTGGACTGGAGGAGAAGATGAAAAGAGTCAAATCACCTTGAGTCGCTCTCGCGCGTGCCGCAACGGTCGGCTCCACCACATCGCATGCTGAAAGAGAAGAAGAGCGTCAAGTGATGGATTTGGTGCGAAGACATGGTGCTCACGCTTTCCATGTGCAGCGAAGTCAGCCAGAAATTGACCAGACTTCAGCAAGATCAGTACAACTTATGGTTGACCCACGGTTTTTGTTTCTATTTTTGACAGGCAAATCAGAGAAAAGACCGGTATTTGAACTACCAACTTGTCTCGACTCACTCAAAGATATTCCGATTGGAAGCCCTCTCCCTAGTACAAGAGTCAGAGCTTCTGTCTGTGCAATGTTGCTTTGAACATTTGTTGCACTATAGTCACCTGATTCAGCTTCACATGCCATACAGATCATTGACGAAGCTTCTATCTTATCTTCCCATGTTTTTTTTCCGAACTCCCGGACCATTCAGACCGAAGCTTGTTACTACTAGTAAGGCACCTGTTACTACTAGTAAGGCACTTGTTACTAGTAGCTTCCTACCACCGTTCTCTCTTATTTTGGTCCGCCTTGGTCAAACCTTCGTCCGCCTTCGGATTCGCAGTCCACCCAAGTGTCCACCCAGGTCTCTGCCATGGCGTTGGCCTTTGCCACCTTCAATGCACAGACGCGTGTCGCAGGGTCTCTCGTCTAGACACGGTCGGCGGTCGGCGGTGAAAGGCAAGACCGAACGGGAACGTTCGTCCTTGCACCCCGTGGTGGTGGAAAGCACGTGAAGACCGTGAAGAAGCGATATAGGCGATATATGATATATGATGTGTCCCATTGTTGTCATCATATTGATGTGCAAACTGCTTCTCCGCATGTTGGTTGGAAATGGTTCTCAGCCCTGATTTGAGTGGGTCCACGTGATGTGGGTCCAGGTCCGCTTTAGTGAGGTTGCCTGGATTCGCGAGGATCCATGTGTGGTATTCTCAGCCATGAGCCTTGCTTATGGCTGATACCCCCTAATGGCCTCCAACCTAATAGCGATGGCCTCCAAACCTTGCGAAATTAGCTAAGGAATCGTATCTTGGACCGAGCATGGAAGATGCCCGAGGGCTGGAACGCCTCCTTGGATGCCCTTGCTGGCACCTGAGATCGTCAACGGCGAAGCTATTCAGTTCCTGTTCTATCCTTCAGTTTGACACAGGACTTCCACTGTCAATAGAAAAAACAGAAGTCAGAAGTCATCAAACAGAGGTTGGAGGTCAAACGAACACGTCTTTACCTGTTGTCTTTGATCAGATGCGAGCATGTGTGTTCCATGATATTTGTTTGCATGCAAAGGGCAAAGCTATTTGTTGCTGCAGTTTTCAGGTTTTGGCAAGTTTGGTAGGTTTTGATGCCTTTGAGCTAAGCAGAATCCAGATCTCCATGTGATGAAGACACTCGGAAAAGCAACGAACACAACGATCTGCCCAGAATACGGAGACGCGCGATGCTAGTGGCAAGGAGAGACGTGAATTCGGGGAGTTTTTTGAGTTGAATGGAGCGCGGTTGAGGGGATGAGATTCAAGTGGCTTCTTGCTGCTGGTAGCAATGCACCTTGCTACTGGTAGCCTAGTAGCTTCTTGTTACTAGTAGCGATGGCCTCCACCGTGCGTAGCTTCCAAGCTTTCCATGTGTCCTGGAACAGGTCGACGGTTGGGTAGACGCTTGCAGTGAGCTTCAACAGTCCGAAACACTTGTGTAATTCTTGGATCACGCAGTTTTGGGAGAAGTGTGGTTATATGGATGTTTACTAACGAGGTGGGTTTTGGCATGGGATTGATTTCCAAATTCCTGGGGAAAGAAAGGAACCAGCCAGGACCCATCGTGAAGATTTCAAAGTGAGCCCTTTGAGAGATAGAATCTCCCAACAACAGTAGTTGAATGGCCGGTTCGGACGGCTTCTCTGTGCTTCACCCATTAAAGAGGCCTGAAAGGTATCAACAAATGCTTCTCTTTCAACTGGCCTTGTGTGATCTTCAATGTTCATGCAAAGGTGGTTTCCACAACAACCCACCCTTCTCCAGTCCTCAACGACCCGTTTGTCCAGGGCAGCTTCGACACCTCGATGATCCTGCTACAGCCCAGCAACTCCGGCTGCTTGCTTCTTGCCATCCAAAGGTCCAGAGCTCCAGAGCTGTGGGCAACTGTCGACCTGAGAACAGCTCAACTCCAGGAACGATAACTGCGGATGTCTATAAGTTGGCACAAATTGATAACATGATACAATACAACATGCAGATACTGTATCAGATAGAATGAATCATGTCGCTTTTCAGCATGGTCTTGCGGTTGAAGTCTTTTTTGTCGGACATCAATGGCGCCGCAGTAGCAGTAGCATTTTGGTGCCGACGGCGCTTCCACCATCGACTCTGCCAGATGGTCTGGACTTGAAACCATCAACCTGCCGGGCGCCTAGAGAGCAGAAGTCGCACCTGTTGGTCTATCCGCAGTTGACACCAACCACAACTCCGTTGGCCCGGCTAAACAAGAGAGAACAGCTGCACAGCTTGAATCAATCACGGCTTTATGTTAGCACATGCTGACAGAACACTTTCCTTGCTTGCATTGCCCGGTGCGCGACCTCTGCATCTTTGTGACGAGGTCACTACCACAGCTACCTTCAGATGTTTAAACGGACAGAGGACTTCTTGGTTCAACGGACAGTATGACCGTTCTTTCATCCAGGTTTTTTCTGGTTCGCACTTTTCAAGCATAACTGCATAACCTCCATGGGACTGGCATATTTACATACATTGGGGTGGTTTTGGGGGGTCAATGTAGGTAAATATGCCAGTCCCATTAGTCGCGTTTGGGCAATAACCATCCTGGGCCCGGAGTCCATGTCGGCCGCTGAAGAAATCGGAACTGGTGATTCGATGCACCGCTTTTTCGTGGTTCAGATGACGTCCACCCCGACGGACCATGACAGACCCACACGGGAGCGAGAGGAGTTGGTTGACGTCCTGAAGAATGAGACTGCCGATGGTCACTTGCTGCAAGAATGAGACTGCGTGAGGTTCACTGCACCGATGGTTGAGAGGGTCGCAGATTCGAAGGAGCACCTAAACTGGGGCGCTGTTTGCGGGGAGGATGTCCTGAAATCCGTAGGTCTGTAAAATACCATGGTAGGTTTGTATCCGAAGACTGAAAGAACGTGCCAAATGCAGTCCAGGGAGCCTTGACGTCGCCCACGGCTTGGCCAAAGTTTATTTGGACTCCAGACATGGTGCTTCTTCTGCGGATCGCAGAAGAGTGGAACGAATCCTTAGCAGCATTTAGCACCTCAAGAGGACCAAGAGAGTCAATGAACTGAGCTACAGGCAACACATTACAGATAATGCCGGTGAAATTCACAGCACTCAACATCACTCAACCGCAAACAGTACCCTTCTCGTTGAAACTCCATGGAACCCCAGAAGCTATTGTGGATGAAGGCAAGATGCTAGGTTTCCCGAACGAAGGGCATGCACGAGTGGTTCACAATTCAGAACGCTTCTAGCAAAGCCCATCAGCAAAAAGCCAGCCAATCAGCATCTGTCAGCGAGATGCGCTGCATTGCGCTGCTAGATGCACCATTTTGGCAGCCTTAACCATCCATTAGTGCTGTTAGTCTTCCCTCTCCCCGTCCTTTCCTCAGCAGGTTGGAGGCCATTGCTCTTAGGTTGGAGGCCGCTAGTAGGTTGGAGCTTTCCGTCCTTTCCGTGCACATCTGTTTCGCTCTCATCATGCGCTTCTGTGGCGCTCCCTTGGACCGCGCTGGTGCGCTGGAGCGGCGGAAGGACGAGGATCTGCTGAACACCGCGCCCTATCCGCGGTTCCTGGTGGTGCCTCGGCGTCATGGAGCGGGGTGCAAAAACCCAGCGATGTGGTAGAATGCAAGTTCTCTTGTAGACTGCACCACGTTTGCATTTCAATCTCGGTATGTCTCAAAGGTATAGACTACGGTATAGAACAAGATAGAAATATAGAAAGAAGAAGAAGAAGAAGAAGCAGGAAGAAGGAGGAACGAAGGAGGAACGAAGGAGGAACGAAGAAGAAGTGTGATTACTCTGAAATGTCCGATCTTCGGCTGAGGTCCACTCACGGAGGATTCTCACCGCCGGTGATTCCTTGCAGTGGCTTACCCGACAGCAGCTTGCTGAGCTGGCACCCATGTCTGTGGCTAAGCTGAGAGTTATGTAACATGTGATTATACGAATTACGAAAGCCAGCTGATAGTTAGGGTGGAGTGCTTGTGGGCGAACGAGCATTAGGGAGGGCGAACCCAGAGCCTGCTGGAGCGGAAGAAGAAACTGTGGCAAAATTTGAATCAACATGTGTATTTATAAGGGGCTTGGTGATGCGAGTGATGCCAAAAAGGTTGAATAGTGCATCATCAGCATTACAAGAGTGGCCAGGCAGTCCAGGGTCAGCTGTAAAGATAGCAACCTGCCAGACCTGCCAGCAGGCATGTTACCGCTGTAAAGACCTCAATTGCTCCGCTGAGTCTACGGGTTCCAAGAGATGGTGGGCCGAAACGTGTTGAGACTAACGGACTCAACGAAAAGGGCTGAGTCTGAGCATTCGCACTGGCTTGTGCTTATGCTTTTTGGCCCCGGACAAGCAGAACGGAAATTTTCACATTGGGCCTCGAGATGTTCTTGTTTATATTACATCTGTACACAGGGCCTTTACTAACCCCTAGTCATTGTTAGTGGTCATAGGATGGACCAAACATATGAGTTAGAGAATATGGCTGATGGGTCGGGGACTGCCCACATTGTGCTTCATTGAATCCTGCGCTCGTGTCCAAGCACAGAGTCTCACTTCCAATTCCCTTGAACATTCACCACTCTAGGGGGCCGGGGGCCCTCTTTTTTGCGGCTCTGGACCCTTTTCATGCTAAAAAAGGTGAACCCCCACATGACTTCTTAGACTGTGACTGTCAATCGCTCAATCCACTCATCCTATCCTTTGAAAGTTTTGACCTATGTATTTTGTTTTTGAAGCCTCCAAGGTCAAACCAGTGAGCATAGTACCATCCTGGCTTCGGGGAAGACAAAAAAGGCACCAGGGTGCTATCTTCTGACATCTAGCTACGTCCCCCCAAGTAGGTGCAAAGAATATTCGTTGAAAGCCTGTGTTTGCGGTCTGTTCGAAGGGCATGTGTGGTCCAGTGGTGCCCATTTTGATCGTTTTGTCATGGTTTTGGGGAAGACAAAACTGGCACCAGCAAAGGAGCGCTATCTTCTGGGACTGCCCAGGTAGTTGTCAACAAAATACGTTGAAAGACTATGTTTACAGCCTGTTCGAAGGGCAAGTGGTGGTGCCTCGTTTGATCGTTTTGTCACAGTTTTGGGGAAAATCAGGAAAGGAGTGCTGTTTTCTGGGATCTAACTAGGTCTCCCCAAGTAGCTGTAAAAAGACATTGAATGACTATGTCTGCGGTCTGTTTAAAGGGCATGCGTGGTCCAGTGGCGGTGCCTCTTTTGATCGTTTTGTCGCGGCCTTGGTGAAGAGAAAAGGGCACCAGCGTAAATAAGTGGTTTTGCGCTATGGGCCAGAAAACAATTGTTACCCCAGAGTGATCAATCGTTCGGGTCATTTGCTTGACATACCACCCTCCAAACTTGGACATGTACGTGGCATCGCAAGATAGCACAGAGCACCACAAAGCTGACACAAAATCTTCAAAAGTGGAAATGACAGCTGCTCTTTCTGAGCATATGTCAAATCTTGAGGAGAGATGGAACAACACTTTTGGTCCAGCAAACTACATGTACACATTGCAAGAGCCATCCTTTGACCGAGCGAGGTGGATTATATCTATCTGGGCCCACTCGAAGAGCCACTGAGCTTAAAAGTGGAATGTCGAAGCACTTGTTTTCATCACCCAGTGCTCTGATGATCATATCTAAAATGCACAGTTGAAGAGGGCATAAAACCTTGGCATGGAACAGCTGAAAATTCATCCATCCCAAATGGCTGAGGCCTGGAAATCGGGATCGCTCTCAGTGTCTGGTTTGAAATTCATCGGCGCTCCCGATCTGCCGGAGACGAGGCCTCTGGACGATCTGCCGGAGACGGATGTCTTCGTGGTGGATTTGGGTTTCCTACCAGAGGCCGAGGCGGGCAAGCCGAGTCTTCCGTTGAACTCACGGGCAGAAGTGGCTTTTCTCGGCTGTGAAGGTCAAAGGCGGTGAAAACTCTACTTTGTAAATCACAATTCACGAAATGGCATCCAACCCAATAGCAAAAGGAACCTACTAGCGATGGCCTCCAAATCTAGTTTGTATTGAAGACATATTCAAGTTTTATTCAAAATCCTTCGAAAGAAGACAAGCAGATTCTTAGCTCCTTGGACCTTATAGCCAACCAAAAACGTGGATGTTGCAAAGATTCATGCTACAAGTGCCGCTTCACGTATTTGTTCCGCACGAAATGAGTATGGCATCTATACAACATACCTTCGACCAACAACCACAAGACGCAGGTGCCTAGGTGCCTCCTGCCTAAGTTGATGGAAGCGGACAAATCAACCCATGTTGCACCTGCCCTGGTTCATCGCTATTAGGTGGAGGCCATAGCTAGTAGGTTGGAGGCCATCGCTCTTAGGTGGAGGCCATCGCTCTTAGCTGGAGGCCATCGCAAGTAGGTTGGAGGCCATCGCTATATTAGGTGGTGGCCATCAATTCATGTGATGCTGTTTGTTGGGGGAAGATTGAAAGCTGAAATAAGCTGAAGTCACGCCGTAGATCAGCCAGCTACCTAGCAGTTCCCATCAGTTATTATTCAAAAGAATTGAATGTGTTGAACCAAGGTGGACATCCTCCATTTCTGTGATTGGAGCTTCCCGTTTCCATTTGCTTTCACTCTTCGCATCCAACAAAATCAACCTCATCGCCAAACTTCACAGACTTGGCAAACCCGGCTTCTTGCTCGTCTCCGCGCAGCCGACTCAGGTGGCCACCGCCTTGGGTGCGAATTGCGCCTTGATCTCGGGCCGCGAGCTGCTGGGCTCCAAGGCTTCAGACGAGGAGGTCACCGTAGCGGGCTTGGCCTTGGCCATGGTCGCGCCTGGGCGTCTCCGATTCTTTGCGACGCGTTTGTGTTCATCTTTTCGGACGTGGAGCGAGCGACGAGGCGCGACATATAGTCTGACTAAAAGCTCGTTCTGGTGCGAATGCGAAGAAAAAGTGGCCTGGGTGGCCCAGGAAGAACTAGGCCAAGTTAGCCATCACACTCAACCGCAAGCACTATAGTTATTATAGGAACCTTTTGGATCCTTTTGGCGGTCTTTTCTCGGAAAGAGGTGCGGCTGGGTCACAAGATGTTTGGAATGACATTCGACGTGCAGTGGCATTCACCCCTCCCTTGCTTCGAGGATTGGCATCACTCAGCCAAGTTCGAGGGCAGAAGTGGAAAAGCGACGTGCCTCGGTTGGCGTCAAGGGTTGACTCTTCAATCTATTGAGAAAAGGCAGTCGGTTGAGACCATCGCTAGTCGGTTGGAGGCCTGGTTGAGATCATGTATTGCAAATAATGCTGTAGTGACTGTAACTGTTGGCTGAAGGTGGATTTGTTGCCTGTGTTTGTCAGGCAGCTTGGGATTTTGTTCGACCACTTGACTTGCCAAGGATTCCTGTAGAAGCTGGTGCCAAAAGACAGGTGGAAGGAGGCGAGGACTCAGAGTTCGATGGATCGACACCCAAACATCCAAAAACCAAGAAGAAATGGACAAGAGCTGCGAGATGCTGCGAGCCTAATCCAGACAGCTTGTGTATCAAAATCGTCTTCTCTACTTGTCCCGTTTTCCGGTCAGTTGAGCCAAGAACATGTGGTGACCTCGCTGTTGTTGACCTCGCCAGGATCAGCGAAGGTCTATCCGCGCACCGATCCTGTGGCCATTGGCTTGATCGTGTCGCCCAATCACCAGCGATGTTTGTTGGGCCGCAGCCACAAGTGCCTCGGTCAAAACAACTCCCTGAAACACAGTGGCTGTTACAGTGTGCCTCAGACCCAGGAAGAGGCCCAGGCTGTAGCCCAGGCCGAGTTGTGTTCTGCTAACGGCTAAACTGAAAGTTGTGTTTGGATTCCACCAGGTCATCACATCCCGCTGTTGAAACTCTTTGAACACACAGCATTGACGAATGATACATTGTGATCAGTTGGGTGTGGAAGGGATTGCGGATGTGCCAAGGTATCCGACCGGGATGTACACCTGCTTGTCGGGCTTCGTGGATCTTTGCGAGCCTGTGGAGGAAGCCTTCAAGCGCGAAGCTTTCGAAGAGGTCGGGAATGCCCAGCTACTGAGTGCTTCAAGCGCGAAGTGTTCATCCATTCTGAGGTCCCCGCGGTCCTCGTAGGAATTGCGATCTTGTCTCGCCACTGCCCCTTGTTCCTCAGGAAGGGGTGCAGAAAGTGTTGGCAAAAACTCAGAAAGAGAATCAAAGTCCCTACAAAGTGGTTTCCCAAATCCAAGCATCTTATTAACTATCACGATGAGGCGAAGGTCTTGTGCAGTTGTGTTGGACATGAATTAAGTGTCACATCTAAGACTCAGAGGGTCTTCTTACGGAAACTGTGGCTGAGATCTTTCAGACCAATTTCGATCTCATAGTAGGTGTGCTTTGATGTGCCTGATTGAACTTTACATTTACATATATGGTTTCCCGCCCCCGGGTGTAAAGAATAGTGAATAGTAAGCACAATTTTTGGTTCCGTAGTGTTTCGGCTCTTCATGAGTTGCGAGAGCTGCAACCGACGGTTGCTTTTAGACCAGGGCCCTTCTTGATTCTGCGACGCTTGCACAGCCGTACATGGTATTCGAAAGCTTGTGGCTAAATGCGCGCCAGCCCATACAGCTACACACCTGACTGAATACCTGTTGCCAAGTGCATTGAGGCGACCTGCGGGAAGTTCAAGGAGCAAAAGTGGGCTGGTGTGTGTGCGACGGTCACAGGGCCCCAATTGGTGATAGGGAGGCCCTTGAAAACAAAGAGGATGAGCAGAAGGGCCACGAGAAAGTGAGCAAAATCAACAACTTCCACTGCAGTCGAAGGGAGTGCTTCAGGATCAGGTGCTTGACAAAGTCCCAAAAGGACGCTGAGGTAGAGAAAGCTCCCCTCGTGGACGCAAGACCAGTTCCATGCGTCAAGGGGAAGCAAAGGTCAAGACGCACAGAGAGGAGTCGATCCAGTTCCAGACTGGACAGAAGACGCAGACGGGGCAGTCGAAGCCCTGAGGAGGTTGTGCAAGGGCTCGGCTTGAACCTGTCAAGCGGAAGCCGTTGCCGAAAAGGCCGCATGCCCGCTCATTCTCCATCTGGTCGCCAGGATAGAGGGCGCGAATATATACTACGGTTAACCAGTACGGCAAAGGTTGTAGGAAAGGACGAGTTAAGTAAGCGACGGCGCCGACAGGGATCAGATGGCCAGGGGGCGCACCGTCCGAGTACCAGGGGTCTTGAGGAGACCAGCTCCCCTTCGAGAGAGAGTTCGTGGCGGAGGAATCCCTGCAGCCAAGGTCCAGGTTGGAGGACTGATCTTGGGCGAGGAGGCCACGTACTATGGAGTTCCCTGCAAGTTCGCGGGGCGCATTCAAGAGGATCGCCGGGACGCAGCAGGCCGTCATTTGATGGTGGTGAGGATCCTGGGACCGACAAAGCCCTCACCTGACGGTCTGCTGGCCGGAGGATGAGCTGGCCGCGTTTCAAGGCTCATCCGCGAACTGTGCAGAGAAGGAGCTGCTCATCCGGCAGAGCCCGCCCTGAAAGTGAATTCCCACAGAAGACGAAAAGAAGAAGGACAAAAAGAAAAATAGAAGACACACAAGAGGAAAGGAGAAGTCCGACCACTCGGAAGATAAGAGGAAAGAGGCCAAGAAGAGCAAAGCAGACGGCAAGGGCGGGGCGAGACCCTGGGATTTCGAGTGGGGTCTTGTTCGGCGGGAGTGGCGTTGACAGCTGTGCAGGTGTTGTCACTATTCCTTGGTTTCCCGCCCGCGGGAGCAAAGAATAGTGCGCGCCATTTTGATTCCGTAGTGCGTTGGCTTTTCCCGCCACTCCCACCCCAAAACCAGGAAAGCAATCCTCCACGTCTAGGAAGCCGGCGAAGCGCTTGAAATGAGCATAGAAACTCCAGTTGAGACAGTGGAGCAAAAACTTTGCCGTGGCCTGGCCAGGGGTTTTGTGTGGCCCACCTGGTCAGGAGGGAATAGGATAATTGGGAACGCCCCTTCCCTCGTGGACGGGGAAGGGGGGATTGTCTAGCCGTGTTTTTGGGGTCATTTCCTTGCTAACTTGATTTTTCCGACAACTTTGCAGCAGAGCAATCAAACAAGGTGTTGTCATTATGTTTAAATTAAATGTGTGACATATATGTGCACTTCTACACCTTCGAGTCAAACAATATGCACTCGTCCATGTGCTTGGCTTTCCGAAGCCGCCAAGGCCGGGGTCCGGCTCCGGTCCGTGACCTTGATCGCCTCGCAGCCGTGGCCCGTGGGTCGCGGAGGCTCCTGTGAGCTCATGTTGGCCTGCAAGGTGCGGTTCTCCCCCCAAAGAAACGAAGAAACCGTTCAACAACGAATCGGCTAAGTATTTCATTTGACAACAACGCTAAGCATTAGCGCATGTTTGGACGCGGCAAGTCTTTTCTTCGAGTGGTTCACTGTTGACATCTGATCCTTCGAACTTCAGATCCTCTTGTTTATCTTGTAACAATGACGCTGTTAGGTAGGGGCCATCGCTATTAGGTGGAGGCCATCGCCTCTATAGGTTGGCCATCGTTAGTAGGTCGGAGGCCATCGTAACGAACATAACAAGAAAATACAAGAAACTAGTAGTATCAAGGATGCTACTAGGAGCAAGGGCATCGCTACTAGGGGCTCCTGGCATTGCTACTAGGAGCATTCTTGCTTCTAGGAACAAGAAGCTAGTAATAACAAGTGAAGTTGACCGGTGTTGGTCAGCAAAGCTCCGTTCACCAGGCCGTGGCGGCCAGCGAACACTTGGAGGCAGGGTGCCGGCACGGCGCGAGGACTCCGGAGGGGCCAGTCACAGCCGTCGCGTTCGGTTTCTTCGTGGTTTTTCCCATCCCCAAACACTCCATGTATTGCATATTTACCTACATTGGGGTGCAAATATGCCATACATGGAGTGTCTGGGACCTTCAGATTCGATCCAACTCGACCATACTGGGCATGACCTGCAAGCATCCGTCAAAGGGGCCTCGGGCGGGCCTCGGGCGGCCTTGCCTCGGCGCAGCCGTAGGGCGGTTGAAGTCGTCAGCTGTCAGCTGCGAGGTCAATCCCAAGGAGATTGAGGATGCACGCTGGTTCTCTCGAGCTGAAGTGAGACAAATGCTGCGACATCAGCACCCGCAAGGTCTTTTCGTCACCCAGCGGCATTCAGATTTCGAGCCAAACAGGACACCAGTTTAACCGTGCTGCCCCAGACGGTTTGGTGATGTTTGGTGGGCATCCTGTCATGACCGAGTTTTTTTTTCAATTTTGTTGCTATTGTCTTCCTTTTAGACCTTGCAATAGTAGGCCATGTGTTATTTCTTCTGTTTTTTCTCTCCTGGCAAAACTGCAGGCCCACGTGCCTCGCCCAGGTTCCTCCTCGCTTCGCAATTGCCAACAAACTCATCAGTGACTTTGCCGCCCCAGTGCCTAGGCTCCTAGTAGCGTCCTTGCTCCTTAGTAGTAATGCCAGGAGCTACTAGTAGCGTCTTGCTCCGTTCGTAGCGATGCCCTTTGCTCCTAGTAAGCGTCCTTGCTCCTAGTAGCCTGAGCGGAATTCGCAGCGGATTCACTGGGGCGGCAATTGAATTTGGTTGAAGATTTGGGCATCGCGTGCTCAATCGCCTAGGCACGTGCAAACTGGACATGGGGCATGGGGAAAAGACCTGGTTTGCCTTTAGCTTCATTGTACGTTCATTGTATTTTCAGCCCAACGTTCCAAATTGGATTGATAGTCACTGACAGTCCTGAGCTAAATTTTGGAGTATTCATCCAATTAGTTTTAATGCCTTCCAAGTGGTGCTTCGAACACATGTTGTCCGCTTGGATAAAAACCTAGCCCACTGAGTGTTGAACTTGAAACAACAGCATCACCGGTACCGGTATGCTTTCTAGGTTGGAGGCCATCGCTATTAGGTTGGAGCGCTACTAGGTTGGAGGCCATCGCTACTAGGTTGGAGGTCATCGCCTCAACAGTTTTTGAGGCCATCGCTAGTAGGTTGGAGGCCATCGCCCTTAGGTTCGAGGCCATCACTCTTAGTTTGGGATGTGTTTCTTCCCAAAGGGTAATTCCTTTCCCAAGCGACTCCGCTTTGCAAGGTCTTCCCCATTCAGCTGGGACATCGTGGGGTTCCCGTTCTGGCCGGTGCAACCTTGGCCGTGGGCTCCTTGAGTTCATTATGGGTTGGGAATTGAGATCAATAAGTTTATTGTGATTTTTTCACATGCGCTTTAGCATATCAATCCAGTTGCTTGTTTCGAAGGATGGTAAGTCCCAGGAGGTGTTCCAAGATGAACATGAGTTGGGAAACAGGTATCAGACTGTATCAGAGTCCTCGTGGGAGTGAATGATTGCCGTGTCATGCTTTGTCCACCCATGACCTTCTAATGCGCATTTTCAATGCTGGCTTTCCTGGCAACATGTGCGTAATGTGTCTGTGATGAGCTTCGAGGTTAGCACTCTTCCACTCTTCCACTCGGTGTTTTTCGTATCAAACACCTATTGTTTTTGTGAGGCTTCTTGGCCGGAGTGGCTTTTGCCCGATGGAGATCATCCCTGTGAAGGCGAGCTGCCTAGCTGGTTGAACGTTGACTCTTTTAGCATCTCAAAGCATATAAGGCACAAGGCACGTGGCACACATAATGCAACACATCCGACACGCTATACACGTTTTCTCAACCCCTAAGCTATCGTGACTTTTGGGACAGCTCTTCAATTGGCGCTGATGCACCTGAAGAAAGACTCCGTTTTGGGGAATTCAGGTGTGGATTGATCCAAGAAATGGTAGGAGGCCTTGCCATTAGGTTAATACCTCTAAAGTTGAAACTTCAGGAACTCGTCAGTCACTAGTGTGGATTCAAGATTCACAGGACGCGGCTTTCTGTTTTGCTTGTTCAGCTTGTGTATTGGGGCTGTTTTCACAACTGGGCATAGTCCTCAATGGCTTACAGCCACTTGAATGTCAGTTGAGTAGATATGAGTAGATTCATCGACCGGCTTCCCATTGCTTGGAGGCCATTTTCCAATCGCTTCTCGTGAGACAAGTCCAGGCCAAATTGCTTGAAGCGAAAAAAGACAAAGACCCGTCTTGGCTGGTGCTGCATTCACAAAAGGTTTGTTCAAACCTTTATAAAATTGGGCGGAGATGTATGAATGATAAACATGATGACGACAATGAGGCTCCGAGTTGGTGAGAATGAGGCTCGTTGGTGCTATCAGAATTAACCTCCCGCAGCTCGAGTTTGTTTCTTGAGAATACTTCCAACTGCTGAGTTGTCCCACCTTAAGCTGAGTAGTCCTAGCTGGACTGTCAGAGACCAGCCGAGTCTTCGACTGCTGCGCCATTCTTGACTGCGCCATGCCTGTCTCATAGGCCTTGGCCATTTCCAAGATCAGGGAAACCCAAGCACAACGCGAGCCACTTGAGCACAAGAGGACCCACGGCGAACCCACCGGCCTCCCATCGCTCCGTTTGTCGCTCTCCGAGGTATCAAGGGCATCATGGGACTCGGTGACAAGATGTCGACTCTTTGGCTCAATCAGCTCGAGAAGATTGGAGGCCATCATCGGCAATGGGGTTGGAGGCCATCATCGGCAATGGGGTTGGAGGCCATCATCGC